CCTCATATGGAGAATGAAGTCACATGAATTGGTGTGATTTTATCACAGACTTCAACAGAGTGTAAAAACCTTGATGGTTTTGTGGGTCTCGTCTATCAAATCTTTATTTTGTATTTTCAGTTAGATTCAAGTGAAGTAATTGGCTGGGCCATTCTACAGATTGTTTTTCTTTCTCTGAAAGCATTTGAGAGATTCCTTGGCTGTGTTTTGGATCAATGTCTTGCTGAAATGTCCACTGTGGTTTCATCTTCATCATCCTGATAAAGTAGATGTTGGACTGAAGCAGCTGATATTAATTTAAAATGAGGAAGGGCAGAGGGTTGCTGGATAACTTCTGGGAGATTTCAGCTGCTGTCTGGGCTTTCTACAGCTCCCTTCTTCATGTGTTCAATACTTTTTTCCTGCTGTTTAATTTTATTACACATAACTAGATTTGTAAACTGATTAATATTGTTTTCTTTTGCATATGTTGATTTATTTGGTTGCTATCAACATCTGGTGAAAATTTCAAGTCAACAGCACCTTAAGAACTATGTTTTCTGAGAAAAAGTGGTGACGTGTTGAATACTTATTTCCACATATTTCCACAATATAAATCACAATAACAAGTAGCATTTGATATAATGTAATGATATGTGTCAGATATGTAATTTACCTCTAAACCAAGGGTGCCCAGGGTCATGGTCAATCGGTACTTTTGAAAACACTATTGGTTGGGTTTAGGGAAGGGAGGTGGGTCTGTCAATCAGTCAGTCAGTAAAACATTTAGTCGACAGCAGGCTCTGGTGGATTTCCGAGAGAGCAGTAGGCACGAACGGCATTCGCGAGAAAAATTTGAGTTCTTAAAAAGCAGACACAGTGGCCTCTCGTGGATTTGCGAAAACAAAAACTGCAAAAAAAATGGACCTCCTGGGACATGTTTAACAGATTCCAGAAATGTATATAGAGGTACGTTTTTAGAATGAGCCTGGATTGCTATTTACATTTTTACAAATCAGATTCATTTACCATATTTGATTGAAACATTTTATTACAGTTTTTTTTTTTTTTTTTTTGTAGCTCAGCAATAAAACAAACAATCAAAAGAATGTTATGTTAAATTAGAAATGACAATATCTGTGTTAAAGACATTTGCCCCTATCATTCTCACTCTCTTCTCAGATGGGATGGTGGGCCAATTCAAAGATTACAATGGGTCAACTTTGGCCCCAGAGCCCTACATTTGGCATCTCTGCTCTAAACAAACTGGAATCACAAAATTCTCTTACTTGTTAAATCAGTTTTATTATAACTTAACATATGGGTGGTGTTTCTGAGTCTATGTAAAACATGTTCTACTTCTCTGTATGTATGTAGTTACTGTTTTCTTAAACTCTTAGCACCCTTATTCCAGTCTCTCTGGGCTCCGTATTGGCTGGATTCTCTGTTAAGTTAATTTGTGTAATTTAATTTTGACTGCTCAAGGGCCTCAGACCCATACCTGTATATTCATTGAAGAATAGTTTTTTTTTTGTTCATTTGTGTGTGTGTGTGTGTATTTGGCAAAGGTTTCTGTTGCGCGTCTGCGTGTGCTTGTTTGTTGATGCGCGTGCATGAATGCGTGTGCGTGCGTTTGTTTAGAACTTGTTCCAGACTTTCTGGGTGGGTTTAGCTATTGTATTGATGCTTTTATTGCATTATTTGGTAATGTCTGCGTTTAAAGATCCATCATGAATTGTCAGAGGACACTGGCTGAGTGTGAGACAGCTCGACCGTGTGTGCATGTGTGTGTGGCGCTGAATCGATTCAGCAGCAGTGTAGCTGTGAATATTTAAGTGATTTAAGATTAAAGCGTCTGGAGCCGAATAAAAGCAGCACAGATTTAATATAAAACCATATTAAAGAGGCTCAGCTTTATGAGGTCACAGAGGATCTGCAGTACACAGAGCACAGCTGTGAGTGGAGCGAGAACAGAGGAAGAGAAAGGGAGAAAGAAAGCAATGAAGAGGGAGGTCAGAGAGCATCTTTCAAAATTTTTGGACTTGATTTTATTTATTTATTTTTTTCAGAATTATATAGTGAGCTCTGTACACCCTTTTTCTGAGTATGAGGTAATGTTGAATCGTGTTATGAACTGCACCGTGTGTACTCAAAATACAAAAAGAAAGAGTGTGGCTTATGTCAAAAAATCCAATTTGGCCAGAAATGTTAAAAGGCACCTATTTTACCCCTTTTACAAGATGTAAGATAAGCCTTTGGTGTCTCCAGAATGTGTTTGTAAAGTTTCAGCTCATCTGATTATTCATTATAACCTCCAAAATCTACCCAGTTTGGTGTAAGAATATATTGTAGCGGATTTAGTAGCCTGTGGCTTTAAATGCAAATGAGCTGCTTCTCCCAGCCCACCACTCCCACGTGCATGTCTGCTTCCCCTGCATTACTTCAGATAAACAGTGACAGGGACAGACTCAGAGGAAGCTGAAATACAGCTCATTAGTCAAATAATACCAAGTTGTGTCAAGTGTATTTGATGTATTTGTGGTGGAGTTTTTTCAAGCCTTTCTGAAATGATGAGTCTCAAACAAATGCTGTTTGCAGTACTCACCATGACACCATGCAGCCATGGTGATTATAGCTGTTAAGAATTACATAGTGATTTCACTGGCGTTATTACAAACATGCTCAGTTTTAAAAACGTTTTAAACTTATAAAACTTATAAAAATCACAGAGAGTTGGAACAAATGTTTGAAGTTTATTTCCAAACAAAATTTTCTGTGGACATGTGTATACATGTTATTATAGAAACATTGCGCCTGTCATTCAATTATGTGGGCAGGGAAAACCACACTCATATATGACGGCAATTCCACGCCAAAAATTAACCGACTGCACCCATGATGTTTAAATGCGAGGAGAAGTGAACCGTGATAAGATTACAGACCTACACGCGAGGAAACTAGTGCTCGTGCATGCACAGAGGATGTTAATGCGCACGCTGAACTGATCCAGCGCAAAGAAACGGGTGCTCGTGAGCTCGTTGTAAACCCTCTCACGCACACATCATGAACTGTTCTCTCGCTCGCTCGCTCGCTGGCTTTTCTCTATGCTTGCGCAAAACTTTTGAAATTTTTGTCAGTCTTGGGGCGGGAGTGTGTCTAATTGTTGTAGAGCGTACAGATTATGATGTATGCAGTCAGGGGTTTCCAACGAGCTCACGAGCGGCCGTTACATTGCGCTGGATTAGTTTAGCATGTACGTTAACATACCCTGTGCATGTGTGAGCACTAGTTTCCTGTATGTTTTTAATCTACTCAAGGTTCACTTCTCCTCTCGCATAATCATCCCCGGTGCGCTCGATTATTTTTACCATAGAATTGCCGTTATACTACGTCAGTTTGCGATGTGCCTCAAAATTACTGGGATTTAAATCCTATTTTAACATCAGTAAATTTTAAATAGAGACTTTTGTTTCTATCACTCCAGTATGACTGAGGACACACTATACTTACACACAGTCCAAACAGCTTACAAAAGTAGATTTTCATCATAGGTGCCCTTTAAAGTGAGTCAACATTTCAGTGCCTGATTGTACGATGTTAATGGTTACAGGTATGCAGCACTATTCAAAACATCTTTTTGTTTGTTTGTTTGTTTGTTTGTTTGTTTGTTTGTTTGTTTGTTTGTTTGTTTGTTTTCAACAGAACAAAACTGGTTTGCAGCAAGTCAAGTATGAGTAAATGATGACAAAACTTTTGTTTTGTTTTCTTTGTGAACCAGCCCTTTAAAGATGCATTTTTTCCCCAAAATGCTTAAAATGGAATCATTAGTCTTCCCTAAAACAGAAAAGTCTATGCCAAAATATAAGCAGAAATTTATACCTGTAAGTGCATAATTCTGACAAAAATATGAAGTTGACCACCGACATAAAAAATTGCTTGAGTTGTATTGCTGTTTTGCTCTTATGTGGTTGATTATGATGAGGTTATTTTTGTTGGGTTATTTTTAACCTTTATTGGGTTATTTATTAACTCAACCAGTTGGATTAAATATTTGGTGATTTGTAGGGTTATTTTTACCCTTATTGAGTTATTTATTTGATAACTCAACCAGTTGAGTTAAATTTTTTTAATTTCAACAGTAAACTAATTTAACTGACACAAAATAGCTGTATTGTTATGTGTTAAGCTCTAACGCAATAATGTTGTTATTTTATATAAAATTACCTCTCCGTGTCGTGTGTTTTATATTCGTTTCACCAGTACTCTTAATTGTTGCAACAAATGCGCACTTTATAGCTGATCTATATTAAATGGATAAAATGCTTAAGCGTCTGGACCTTAAAATGTATTGGAAATAAAGTATACATTTTAATATTTTTGAAAACTGTATTTTATTTATTTACACAGCTATAATTATACAATTAATAGTATTAGTATAATAATACCAGAATGGGAAAAAATACATTTAATCAAAATAACCCAATGCATTGGGTTAAAATAACCCATAGTTGGGAAAGTGCTATAATAGCCTATAGTTGGGTTATATGTTTAACTATTTAAACTGAGTATTTAATAGTCAAAAAGCTTATATGGCAATAAACATAATATCATTTTACTAATCGCCACAGAACCTATCTGAAAGATCAGCAGTAGTATATTATATTGCTTTCTCATGTGTTACCATGTGTGTTTACAGTATTATGCAGAATTTGTTCTTATTTACTTTTAAAAAGTTTTCAAAAAATTGTTACACTTTATTGGAAGAAATACTCATTAATCTGGGTATCTGTGTGTATTTTGCCACTGTCTAATCTATCCATTTTCCCCCTCAATTTGTTTTTCACAGTATAAAATGAGAGCAACAAGACTGCTGCAAACTGCCAGAGAAAGAAAGATAACTACACAAATATTGTCTGTTAGTGGTTTCCACAGTAACCAGTTGCTCATCTCCAACAACACCCAGCAGAAAAGATTTTCCACAGTAATAAATAACTGTGTATTTTGTAGTTAAATGAATATGGTGTGTGTGCTTTGTTGCTTGACAGTATGATAAATGTGTGTAAGCTGGAGTGCATGTATGTGTATAATTTTGCTGTTTGAAAAGCATCGAGAGCTCATGTGCGTTTCTTTGCATGTGTGTGCGTGTGTGTGTCATTTGATGTTTTTGTTTGATTGGCAGTGCTGTCCTGCTTTTAACACTCACTCTGCTCTGATTCTCAACATATGCCACAATTACACTACCAGTCCTCTGTTCTAACGCTTTAAAGATGTGGGACTTCACACACTTGCACGCTCACTCACTCTCACCGAGTAACCCCAATGTACAAACATGTGGCTAGCGAAAGTTTGACAAGAAAGATCGTGAATTGCGGGGTATCTTGATTTAGGACCAAGTTTTACAGGGTCCTTGAGGGGTCCCTTGTGGATCTTCAGAGTTTAATGACGTCTATATCTGATAACTAATGTGTAACATTGTAACTAATCATTTATGACGCATCAGATGTGGTATGTAGTAGATTTATAACGTGCTGGGGAGTCGCTATCGTGTATAATAATAAAAATGAATTCGGAAACTCTGTTGACTTCATCAGTTAACTCGTTAACAGATGGTTCTTTTCAGGGATTGCGAAATGGGAACTATTAGATGTAGCTACGGATGGAACTATTGTGTAATCTACGCGTTAGCGCTGGAGTGATTTGCGTGCGTCCGCATTCTCTGGTGAATGTCGTAGTTGTTGTGTGGAGCCTCGCGCTCTTTTCCGCGGCAGGATTTTCAATGAGATGACGTCACACCGCCAGCCAATCAGCGTCTGGGGGTCGGTCTCTGGAACTGGCCGCAGTAGGTTATCAGCGTGAAACCTCGCAGTCTGAGGTCAGGAAGCCAGATGAGCCCGCAGAGAAGCGCTTGCTCACCGCGACCAGCACAAGCCAACAGTCGCTGAGAGGACGAGGAAGTTCGGTATGCAGAAGCAATGCTGATTGACCTGCACGCAGCCATGGAACCGAAGCGCGAGCCGGCGAAGTTGGAGGAGCGCGAGCGCACGCAGGCGGCGTGTGAGTGCCAAAGCCAATGCAACAACTGCAAAATCTTCCTGAGTTTGTTCATCCTCTCGCTCTCTCTGCACCTCGTCACCCTCTTCTGCTACCTGGACCTGCGCTCGGAGCTCAAACGCGAAATATCCCAGAAAAACAAAGATGAGGTGTCATCCACGGGGCCAGTGCCGCACTATGAAGCCACAGAGCCGGTGCTCCAGTCACCGGACACCGACCACCCAACAATAGGCGACCAGGTAAACCGAGTTATCTGTTGTTCTACACAAAGAGCAGGCAACTAAACTTCCTGTTCTGTTGTCATTTTGCTTTAACTTTTGTCATTAAGAAGATAATTTCTTATTGTCTTGTCTGCCAGAGGAACAATTCTGTATTTTTTGTTTGCTTGTTTGTTTGTTTTCTTAAAGACCTATTGTTTGTTAGTCTCCACTTCCTTTAGATAAGTGATAGTTGGTCCTGAAGTGCTGCTCATTTTGGAGGTCTCACTAATTAGACACACCCATTTCAGGTCTTGGAGCCTCTAGTAATGAACTTATGGTGTAAGTCAGGTGTAAAACATCCGAAATTTCTATAATGTAGGACCAGAATAAGGAACAAAGCAATTGTGCTTGAGTAGAATGTTATCTCCTGAGTGAGGCAAATGATACAATGTGTCATTTTCATAAGTCATAGTAGCTTTTACACATGAAACATCCTTCCACTAAAATAAAACTTAAAAGCAGCAACATAATTTTCTATGCTGTTTTTTTTAAACAAAGTGTTGATAACCACAGCCTGCAAACAATTAAGTCACTGCTTTTTTCATAGCACTGTTGCTGATCAAGCTAAAACACTGAAAATTCATAAAAGTAGAAATGATGCAGTTATTGTGATGAGCAAACCCAACAAATTCCATTAATCAGTAATTTTATAGAGTAAACAAATGAGTCATGACATTATTTTAATGTACACATTTAAAACAAAAACTAATCTGGATTTGATTTTATTTTCAAATCTATTATTTGCACGTTGTTTATATTAGTATTTCAATTCCATAAAATAAGGACTGACCCCATTCTGAAGCAATCTGGTTTTAGTGGTAGTGCTCTAGGGCACATGATTTGTTCCTTGTAGAGGTTTGAACCAACAACCATCCATTTCAATATACTACTATGGTCTTTAACCCAGAGGCATGACAACTACTATCAAGTTTATGAGCTGATCTTGATCAGTACCTGGTGCACAATATAGCCTACGATTTAGGTGAGCCTTTGTCTCTCATCCCATTCACATAGTGCGTCAAAAGCCCGGGAGTGACGCTCTTCTCGTAACTGTGAATCGTTCACCTGCAGGGGACATTTGTTCTGGTTAAACAACATCTGTCCTTTTTACGAGCTCTCTTCATCAGACGCACTTTTACTGTCAGGCGGCACAGGTCGCTGTTTATTTAGCCTTGGCTGCGGTTTGGCCCGGACTCGTGTTTGATTCCTTTGGCAAAAGGCCAATCTCGTCGCAGCGTTTCCTGATGTTCACCCCGCAGGGCTGTGCGTTAGTGCTGGATCCAGAGCGCTCAGCTCAGGGATGCGTTTTATTAGACATAACTGGAGTTAGAATTACACTGACAAATTCCTTCAGTGAATGAATGAATCAATCAATGAATAAAGCCAACGTACATCTGTGGCCTCTCTGTAGTGAATGTGAAGGTGCAGAGGCATCTCATCATTGATGCACACAAGAAATAGTCTTCAAAGTATAAAAATGCTGTCATCATTAGCTCACTCAAGTTCTTCCAAATCAGTATGAGTTTCCTACATCTGCTGAACATTAAAGAGGATACTTTGAAGAAGGTTGAGTCAAGTGTTTAAAACATTTTTATTTGTTGATTTATTTAACGTGGACATCATAATGACCCTGGACAAAACAAATGCATTTGTTAAAGTGTTAAGCATTGGACGCCTGTTCAAGGGTGGTTTGACATTTAAAAATAAAAAAGAAAAGGAAAATTAAATTAAATAAACACACATACACAACATTATAATTCTTTACATAAAAAGGCTATTTTAAGTGTTCACACATAGCTATTGCTTGATATAAATTTGCACATTTGGCATGCAGAGAGAACCCTGAGCATGGAGATACTCGAGTCTAGAGCTCCCTCCTGGTTATGTAGTATTACAGGGGGGTTGAGATCAGGTAGGTCTTGAGAGCTGGGGTGTGGTGGGATGGGGTGTTCTTCAAAACTAAACATAAGGATGAATGGGTTTATTTAATGAAAGCTAGAATTCATCTGTTTGGTCTAGCAATGATATCTGATTGGGCTAGCACTGATTGTTGATGTGATGCCAGCTGCGATGAATCATATCATGAGCTCCTCTCAAAATTAGTTTATAAAACTTCATAAAACAAAGGCAGCATCATCAAACAAACTGGTTATAGACTATCTGTGCTGTTTTGTTTTTAACCATTTTTTAAGAACCCTACAAACAAACCATTAAGTGAGATTATTCCATAGTTGAATCAATAAAAGGAATTAATTTCAGAACACACATTTAGATATTTTATAATATGAAAAAGCTATTAAATTTAGAAAACTGTGAAATTAAGGATAGCCCTATAGTCCAGAGATCTGGTCTCCGCGTCAGGTCAGGGTGCAACCGTGTAAACATGCATGCGGCGTGGGGAGGCGCTTTCTAAACATGCACAGGAGAATGGCATGAAGGCGAGCAGCTTAATTCATTTCATGTTTTTGTTAACTAATACTTTAAATACAAGTCTCTTAAGCTCTAAAGGGAAAAAAACTAAAAATAAATTTAAATAAATTTTAGCAGAGACACAACTGCCAGTTCACATTAGTTTTTCAGTTCGGGATTAATTTTAAAGTAGACTAATAGTCCCACAGTAGTCTACACTATAAATAATATTTTTATTTATTATATTGATTATTATTAATATTATTAAAATTAAGCTAAAATTGACAAAATGCAGAACCTTTTTTAATGTTTGCTTCCATTTTGAAATGGCTAAACCTGTGTTAGGCGACGCAGTGGGTAGCACGTTCGCCTCATAGCAAGAAGGTCACTGGTTCGATCCTCGGCTCAGTTGGCGTTTCTGTGTGGAGTTTGCATGTTCTCCCTGCGTTCGCGTGGGTTTCCTCCGGGTTTTCCGGTTTCCCCCACAGTCCAAAGACATGCGGTACAGGTGAATTGGGTAGGCTAATTGTCCATAGTGTATGAGTCTGTGTGTGTGTGGATGTTTCCCAGAAATGGGTTGCGGCTGGAAGGGCATCCGCTGTGTAAAAACTTGCTGGATAAGTTGGCGGTTCATTCCGCTGTGGCAACCCCAGATTAATAAAGGGACTAAGCCGACAAGAAAATGAATGAAGAAACAAAGCTGTGTTAAAAAAAAAGTAGTTATGAAAAGAAACACCCCATTATGCAGCAGCAGTCAAGTTAGGACACTTAAAAAAATGTCTTTTGAGTTTGAAGATGATCGGCTTGCAAAGTTTAAAGTGTTATAAATGAAATAGGAATATAGTATAATCACACACACACAAAAACACTTATGATAGCCTAAAATAAATCTTTATTTTTACCTTTAATTTTTTTTAGGTATTGTTCTGGCCACACTAATGCCTTGAAAGGTAACTAAGTAACACATTTAGCTACTATTTTTTTTAAATGACAATAGATTGTAACATTTAACTTTTTTCCTAACACTGATAGATGATTAGTTGGGTAATGGGCAATACCTGAAGCATGATTAATCAGGTCATGCTAATTTCACTATATTTTTTGCAGTTACAAAAAGTCTATCCGTGAGTTAGCTTGGATGTGTGGCCATAGTTTGATGTCTTTACCTAAAACTTTAAACATTTATGTTATTCGAAATAAAACGGAAAGAAATAAGGAGAATAAAGTAGAATTTAAACCATTTGTTAAGCGCTAAAGCCATCCGTCTGCATTTATGTAAACGGTATCGTTGCATAACCTTCATTAATAAAATCAGTAATAGTGAAACTGCATATTATTATTGCTATAAAAAGTATATTACTGCCAAAGTTAATAAATAGCCTAAATAAAAGGAAAAAGAGGGACCAAAATCAGTCACTAGGTCTAGTGCCCCTCTGTAGGATTAAAATGCCCCCTCAGTTATGAAATCCTGGTGCCGGGCCTGATGAGTATTACAGTTTTTGGTGAATTGTGTTCTCAATTTAATTTCAATTGATTATCATGCAGCCCTGATGGGACCGTTCATTCAATAGTACTCGTGTGATGAACAGAGATTTCCCATGAAGGTGATGAAGAGTTTGAGAGAGGAGCTTCAATGAAATCTGAACACAAGCGCTCTCAAGATGTGCACTTAACCATGTTAAAACCAATAAAGTATACCGACCGGTAATGCATCTCGACTCCTGGCTGACAACTTGTATTCAGATCACTGAAAACACATGTTAATACCAGGTGGATACAGGGTCTTAATAAAGTTAAAGTGTATGGAACAAAATCAATCATGTGGCCCTTGACCATGTGAGCTATTTTTGTCCATCAATATGGGATCGACAGTTAAGTTGGAAGGATATGAATATTGTTGGCAGTCATGATTTAACAGTCATCCAAAGCTCACTGATTTTTACCTTGGATCAGATGTGTGTGTGTGTTCGAATAGTTGCTGCGTGCATGTGTGTGCATATATGCGTGTTTGTGAGCATTGCACTGATGCGTGTCAGAAGGAGGCGTGTAACCATGACGACTGATTGATGGAAGGAGGCGTGAGTGCGGTTAGTCTGTCAGAATAAAAATGACATGCAAAGAAACCACAGTGCAAGAGAAAGTCTGTGTGTGTGCAATACGACCACTCTGCTGTCATGTTAAAACAGCTATAATTAATGGTGTTTCCCTAAGAAAACAAAAACAACCAAAATCATTTTTGATTTTGTTTTTGGTCTGTTGTATGGTTGACATTGCTGTCTTTGTAGCAATGTACTTGCCAGAGCATTGTGTAAGGATTCACAGTTGTACAATACTGGATATCTGTATGAAATCTAAAGTAAAATTGGTTAAAATAAATGCATATGCATAATCAAATAATACGCTTAACTGGAATGTGTGTGTTATGCACATATTAAAAATGTATCCCCTAAATTGTTAATTGTTTTTAAAAAGCGTAGGGCTGGGCGATATTGTAAAAAAAGACACAATATCATGTTTCATATCATTCAATATCGATAATTACTGAATTTAAAAAATTTTTTTTTTTTTAT